TCAAGCACTTAGCCTCGCCTCACACCAATGCATGCATTGATGCGCTATTTAGAACACTGATTAAAAGCGTAAATTATACGGATTTGATTTATTGGTACTGCGTCATCTCTATACATTTTTCAGCATTTAAATTATTCGAACAACATTGCTCATCATTCGACCGGTTAAACCTACAAATATATAAGGTTATCTATTTATGATATTTATTGAGACACAAGTTAACGACACTAAGTTATACAAATTTTGGTGAAGTTTCATCGTGCCTCTAAAGTACAATATTTTCAATTTACATTAAAGAAAGTTGACCATTCAAATATATGCACGAATGGACATATACACTTGATAATAGTAGTAGACATGACAAAAAAAAGATAAATATGTTACTTGTCACTCCAATTTAACATTTGACGTACTAAAGATATTTTTATTATTTGTCTTCTTAATTGACACATTGATTGGTCTCGAAAGCGTGACTTATAATGAACATATGTTAATCACTCTTGGTAAATCTAAGTTGCACCATCATCATAAACACATCTAACTGAATCATAAAAGTGGCTAATCAACTTTTTCAAAATAAAAGCATTTAAATTTTGAAATTGAAAATTATAATTGCTTTCTAGAGAAGCTTAGAATGCTTGATAATTGGTAAATTGAAACCATATTGCCCACCATGTGTGTTTAGATAAAAAGTTGGTGTGACATGATTGAAAAAAACATTAGAATAGACATGAATGAGTGCACCTTGTGGTCCTCCCAAAAAACCATTTCTCCAACCCTCACTTTAATTTAATACTTTTCTCTTCTAGGGGCAAGCAAAGGAAAAGAAGAAAATAATGACAAAATAAAAATAGAAAAAAGTTAAATTTAATAGCCCGTTCAAGTTATTGCCTGATTAGATACGAAACTAGTTTTTGTTTAATTTTAATACTGGTGAATACTGTGTAAAGTTCATTCCCACCGACAAGAAGACTTATTTATTTAGCTATATTTGTTCTTGTGCTTTTTATTCAATATGTCCATCGATCAATTTTCCAATTTATCAATGAAAAGTAGTTTGTCTACCATACCAAGTGAAGGAAGTATAAACAATGGTGAAGATTTTGAGTTAGAGCTAGCTCCAAAAGATGACGAAAGAACAAATCTCATACTTTTTCAATTTCGAAACTTTTCAATGCAAATTGAAGAACAAGTTGTTAAAAAACTTAGATTGCATTGCATATGGAAACATGTGGGTGAACAGAATCCCGTACAATTGTACGACTTCTTCTTTCAATCACTTGAAAACTGAATCCTTATATGTTACACGCATGAATTATACTTTATAAAATATTAATTTTGGCATCGAATTAATGTACACGTGTAATACACACGCTCGTCTAGTGACACGTATCAACATTGTTAGTGTAAGCATGCATGCTCATAATGGAGACAATGAAAGGCATATTAAACCTAAAACGGGACGGTATCAATGAGGAATCATTGTCATACAAAATTGCCACAAAATTTGGTGGAGCTAACGTAATTTGTCTCAATCCTAGACTTCAATGAACCATATTTTGTCCTTGTTTGACATGTCAACAAATTTTGTTAGTTTATATCACAAGGCAGACATCGATTATTTTGATAATTATTATTATCATCATCATCGTTATCTAATTTTTGGAAATTTGGCTTGTTGGGTCTATTTTAAATTTTATCTAGCAACATAAATAATTTTTTTCGATAAACAAATAAGCAATATGAAGTTTAATTAATTCAAGCACCATTCATACTTTATTTATGAAACAAAACGAGTATAAAGGAGAGTGCAATAATTCAACCAAAATTTATGTATCCATATGAAGTTTCTTTCTAATGATGCTGATGATAATCATGACTAATACCATTGATTTTGAATACTCGAATATAGGACAAATTTAAGAAGTCGTATGTGTACGTAAATGTTGTAAAATGTTACAATAATGGTCATACCGATCATTACACTATGAACATTTTTTGTGATATTTGTTATAATCGTGACGAAATGACATTGAATATTTAATTTTTTTTGCATATAACAACACGTTATCTATGCATCACGAGAGAATCAAATCCTTAAGGTTAAATATATTTATTTATAGGAGACAATTTTTTTGTACACGTCCTAAGGTGATTAAAAGTTTTGTATCGATATTCAATAGAATGAAAAAGCAAACATGTTTACTTTAAAGATAATTAGATACGAAAGCAGACAAATTTGCTTATACACTCATTTCTTCATATCTAACTATATTATATCTATCGTATCAAAATTCATGGTTACATTTCTGGCCAACAAAATTAGTAATTTATTGACATATTAAACAATATTATGATAGAGAAGTAAAGTTGTAAATATTGGTATCGTACTTTAAATAGGCAATGACATTGATCGTCACTGTGAGCAGGTCCGAATGACTATTTATGAAAGTACATCTTCATAAAGTCGTAAGATATGTATGGATTAGGATACAAGATGGAAAAAATAAATAAATAAATAAAAGAAATTCATAAAATGAGTTTGGAAGGG